GTTAAGGGATTAAATGACCCCTTCTTTTCTCCTGATATCAAATTATTTTCCACCCTACATCCTCTTTCTCACAGACAAAATGTCGCAAGCCTCTCACTACTCAATCGCTACTTCCATGTTGAGTGCTCGGACGAATTACATTCCTTAGTTTCACCAGTTCTAACATTCACAGGCTAAGACCCACCATGCCACGCCCATTGTAACAAACTACCCATATTCCTTCCGTATTCCATTGTTAATTAAGTTCCACTCGAGCAGCTTCTTGCCGCGAACCACTGCTTCGTGGAACCAACACCCAAGAGGATGCTTTTCCGATCATTACAATGTTAGCCTGTTCAAGTCTAGGTTAACCGATATCTTCCCCACATACCAGCATAAAGTGTGCGTCTTAATCTGTAACCCTTTATCTTGAGTGCCTCTTGGGCCTTTTACAGAGTGAACCTCACTGTAAGAAAGAAATTGAGACTATATTGCTTATAGATCACCTTTCCGAAATTATAGTTTATAATTTGTTTAAATATATGGAAAAATCCTGCACATGTATACGTCAACCATTCGTCTGCGCATCGATTATTGCTACCGCATCTGGTCTGGTGATTCTGCTATGAATCTAGAGATTCTTAAGAAAATTCAAAGAAAAATATCTAATGTTATCGGTCCTAACCTGGCATCTCGGCTTCAATCACATTTCCATCGCTGTGACGTAGTTTCTCTGTGATTTTTCTATAAATATTTTCACGGTAATTGTCTTGGTAAGCTTCCTACTTTATAAATGTTCATTGAGGTTTCATTTATTTTTATTCCCATCCACAGACAAATTGTACATATGGGAAATAGATATGATTATATAGAGACTCTGAGGTATTACGGTGGTTGTAGTAAGAATGGTAAGTAAGAATGTGTTGTTTTGGTGTAACGAATTTTGTAGATCAGCTAAGTTTAATTATAAATCAGAAGACCAGCCATCCCTCATCCGATCCTTTGGCATTATGCCACATTTTTGTATTTTATACAAAATAAATATCGCTTGCCTCTTTATAAATATTCATTGGGATTTCATTTTTAAATCTTGTTATCTTTATCCCACACCCCTCACAGACAAATTTCAAATATGGGAACTAGTTAGGACTACATAGAGACTCTGAATGTGTCGCTTTGGTGTAAGGAATATTGTGGTGTTTGGGTCAGAATTATGTCCAGATAAGTTTAATTATAAGACAGAAGAAAACCAGCCATCCTCTCCCCATCTCCACCTTTTGGTGTTGTGCTTCATTTTTGTATTTTATAGAAAATAAATATCGCTTTCCTCTTTATAGTTTATTTTACATATTTATAAGTCTACCATTCGTCCATGCATTTGATATTGCTGTTACATCTGGTCTGGTGTTTCTGCTATGAGTGATTCTTGACAATGTCCAAAGAAAAATCTGTAATGTTATCTGTCCTGATCTGGCATCTCGGTTTCAGTCACATTTTCATCACTGTAATGTAACTTCCCTCTGACTTTTCTATAAATATTTTCACGGTATTTGTTCTTATGTTTTTTCTCTTTGGTACTAGGAAGACAAAGTAGTTACTAGTTTAGTAGGAAGTGCACTGTGGGTACTTAAAGCCAGAAAATGTGCGTTTCAGGTTATTTAAGGCCAGACATTATTTTTAGATTGTAAGAATTTTTTGTAGATAATTAAAACAAGTCTTATTCATTACTAGCAGTAGAGCCCAGCGTTGCCCGGGGATGTAACAGTAAGAGATAGATCAAGTATCAACCATCATAAAGACTGAAAAATAAAATTGACAAAGATTATTGTTTAAGGTTGACGAACACACATGTCTTAATTAGATTTTTTTTTTTTTTTTTTTTTTTTTTACGAATTGGTCAAACCCAAACTCAAACAAAAACATTGTTTTAATCGTTATGAGTCTACGATTGAATAGAATTTTATTATAAACAATTGTCTTGTAAATGGAATTTTTAAAGCATTCTGAATGATTGTTACATTCAGAATGCTTTTCAAGGAAAAAGTGTGCAAGAAACACTACCTGCCAAAAAAAAAGTGAAGTTTTGTTGAAATTGGTTGAAAAATGTAGGAAATTCGATCCCATATATAAATGAACACACACACAAACAGCCTGGGTTTTATAAGTATAACTCGATATGAGTTGTCCCCCTTTCATTCTGGTGACAGAATCGTGTTTTCAAATTGATTTCATGCAAAAACACTTGCGTTTTTCCAATTTTTGGCACTGTCAGAACCACCGCAAGGTAATTTTACGCAGTCTTGTGAAGTTTTCTTGAAATCGGTTGAAAAATGTAGGAAATCCGATCCAATATATAAACGTACAGACACACACACACACACAATCTGCGTTTTATAATAATAAAGATTAAAAAGTATTTTTAATTAACCCATAGCTGGAGAGGAAAAGAAGTGGATTCACTTCTTTCCTAAGGGTATTTGTGCATAAGAAAATATAATGAACCCAACATGAATTGGAACTCGGCTTCGGGAAGATATAAATCCGGACCTGCTCACCCAGCTATGGGTTAAATAGCAGTTCAGCTGGGTTCTATAGACTTGGTTTGGCAACCGATCTATCACAGATAAAAATTGCAACCTACTACGAAAAAATCTTTTGCCTCGTCAGTCATGGATCGAAAGAGAAATGATCAACCAAACGTGTATCACGTATGACACTCTGTCGGATGTAGTTTATCGTTATACCTAGGACGTTTTTTTTTTATCTGTAGCTAAATCCATAAAATTGTTTTCAAAATATTTAATTTTTGGCATTAAATAACCCGTAGAGGTTGATATGCTACTAAACAAAAACAACCAACCAACGATCTACAAAAAATTTAAATGCAACGTCAATCGTCATGTCTCCTTGGAAATCTGTTCTTTTATTGTACTTGTGTCTTAAATAATATGAAAGCCACAAAGACTCAAGGAGTAAAAGAAACTGAGAAAAGACAATGAAAGGACAGGATTTTTGACTGAGAAAAGACAATGAAAGGACAGGATTTTTGATTGAGAAAAGACAATGAAAGAACAGGATTTTTGACTGAGAAAAGACAATGAAAAGACCGGATTTTTGATTGAGAAAAGACAATGAAAGGACAGGATTTTTGACTGAGAAAAGAAAATGAAAGGACAGGATTTTTGATTGAGAAAAGACAATGAAAAGACCGGATTTTTGATTGAGAAAAGACAATGAAAGAACAGGATTTTTGTTTGAGAAAAGACAGAATTTTTGATTGAGAAAAGACAATGAAAAGACTGGATTTTTGCTTGAGAAAATACAATGAAAGGACAGGATTTTTGATTGAGAAAAGACAATGAAAAAACCGGATTTTTGATTGAGAAAAGACAATGAAAGAACAGGATTTTTGACTGAGAAAAGACAATGAAAGACAGGATTTTTGACTGAGAAAAGACAATGAATGGACGGGATTTTTGATTGAAAAAAGACAATGAATGGACAGGATTTTTGATTGAGAAAAGACAATGAAAAGACAGGATTTTTGTTTGAGAAAAGACAGAATTTTTGATTGAGAAAAGACAATGAAAGGACAGGATTTTTGTTTGAGAAAAGACAGAATTTTTGATTGAAAAAAGTCAATGAAAAGACTGGATTTTTGATTGTGAAAAGACAATGAAAAGACCGGATTTTTGATTGAGAAAAGACAATGAATGGACAGGATTTTTGATTGAGAAAAGACAATGAAAAGACAGGATTTTTGTTTGAGAAAAGACAGAATTTTTGATTGAGAAAAGACAATGAAAAGACTGGATTTTTGCTTGAGAAAAGACAATGAAAGGACAGGATATTTGATTGAGAAAAGACAATGAAAAAACCGGATTTTTGATTGAGAAAAGACAATGAAAGGACAGGATTTTTGTTTGAGAAAAGACAGAATTTTTGATTGAGAAAAGACAATGAAAAGACTGGATTTTTGCTTGAGAAAAGACAATGAAAGGACAGGATTTTTGACTGAGAAAAGACAATGAAATGACAGGATTTTTGACTGAGAAAAGACAATGAATGAACGGGATTTTGATTGTGAAAAGACAATGAAAGAACAGGATTTTTGACTGAGAAAAGACAATGACAATTGAAAAAGACAATGACAGGATTTTTGACTGAGAAAAGAAAAGACAATGAATGAACAGGATTTTTTGATTGAAAAAAAAGACAATGAATGGACAGGATTTTTGATTGAGAAAAGACAATGAAAAGACAGGATTTTTGATGGAAAAAAATGAATGACAATGAAAAAGACAATGAATGACAGGATTTTGATTGAGAAAAGACAATGAAAAGACAGGATTTTGATTGAGAAAAACAGAATTTTGATTGAGAAAAGACAATGAAAGGACAGGATTTTTGACTGAGAAAAAAAGTCAATGAAAATGAAAAAAGACAGGATTTTTGATTGAGAAAAGACAATGAAAGGACAGGATTTTTGATTGACAATGAAAAGACAATTTTTTTTTTTGAAAAAGACAGAGGATTTTTTTGATTGAGAAAAGACAATGAAAGGACAGGATTTTTGATTGAGAAAAGACAATGAAAGCAGAGGATTTTTGATTGAGAAAAGACAACGGAAGGACAGGATTTTTGATTGAGAAAAGACAATGAAAAAAGACAATGGATTTTTGACTTGAGAAAAAAGACAATAAAAGGAAAGGATTTTGATTGAGAAAAAGACAATGAATGAACAATGAAAAAAAGACAATGAATGGACAGGATTTTGATTTTTTGAGAAAAAGACAATGAATGGGCGGGATTTTTGATTGAAAAAAGACAATGAATGGACAGGATTTTTGATTGAGAAAAGACAATGAAAGGACAGGATTTTTGATTGAGAAAAGGTAATGAAAGGACAGGATTTTTGATTGAGAAAAGACCGGATTTTTTATTGAGAAAAGACAATGAAAGAACAGAATTTTGACTGAGAAAAGACAATGAATGGACAGGATTTTTGCTTGAGAAAAGACAATGAATGGACAGGATTTTTGATTGAAAAAATACAATGAATGGACAGGATTTTTGATTGAGAAAAGACAATGAATGGACAGGATTTTTGATTGAGAAAAGACAATGAATGGACAGAATTTTTGATTGAGAAAAGACAATGAAAGAACAGGATTTTTGACTGAGAAAAGACAATGAAATGACAGGATTTTTGACTGAGAAAAGACAATGAAATGACAGGATTTTTGATTGAGAAAGGCAATGAAAGGACAGGATTTTTGATTGAGAAAAGACAGGATTTTTGCTTGAGAAAAGACCATGAAAGGACCTGATTTCTTATTGAGAAAAGACAATGAAAGAACAGGATTTTTGACTGAGAAAAGACAATGAATGGACAGGATTTTTGATTGAGAAAAGACAATGAAAGGACAGGATTTTTGACTGAGAAAAGACAATGAAAGAACAGGATTTTTGACTGAGAAAAGACAATGAAATGACTGGATTTTTGATTGAGTAAAGACAATGAAAGGACAGGATTTTTGACCACTTTATTGCGCTAATACCCAGGTTCAACTTTAACCCTGTTTAGGTCCCAACTATGAACAAATAGTGAACCCCCAAAACTGGGATAAAAACACAATGAAAGTATAAAAACATATAGTTGATACTTAATATTTAGATATATAGAAAAAAAAGGAAAAAGTCGTCACTAAAAATTATATGTATTCAATTGGCGCCTTCTCCATATATAGCGACCATTTTTCTTAAAGTTCGTATTTTATTGATTACAGATGAAAAATTGGAAATTTTCCATCATATTTCAGTGAATTTTTCACTTTCTAAAATTGCAGTTGATAATTACAGTTTAGGTAGATGATGGTGGGGAGCCATCATTTTAAACTGTCGCTAGAAAGATATAGGTCGAAGAGATGGGTAAGACTTTAAAAGAGTTTTCTTGTGTCGTGTTTGTATAAGTATTTTACGCAGTCTGGTTAACAAAAGAAAAATCATGGAAAGAAACGCTGACCTTAACAAAAGAAGTAATTTACCAATGCTAGACTTGAGTAAATTTGAAAAGAATATGGTGTCTGCTGTCGAATGGAGTTCGTAAGGAGGAACGCCACTCTTAATAACTAGAAATGATAAACTTCGTCTACGGCTAATGATGAGGGTGTAGACACGGACGAATGGATGCAGGAAAAAAAGAAAGCGAAGAAAAAAAGCGTAAACGATAGATAGGAAGAAGAAGAATAAGAACAGAATAGAGAAGCGGGGGGGGGAGTAAACATTTTTATTCTTTTTTTCTCCTAACAGGTTTTTCTTTCACCTGTTTTTTTTTCTCTTCATCATATTCTTTTTGCCTGTTGATGGCTAGAAGTTATAGTCTTAAGTAGTTTGAATTGCTTAGATACAACCTTGTCAATTATTATTGATTTTTGACGAGTATTTCTTTCATCGTTTGGTTGCATCGCAACACTGAGGTCGTTTTTGTATTCTGTGTTTGTTAAGCTGGCAAGATGGCCGACATACGCCACGGATGAGGGATGCGTGGTCAAATCACGTCGAAGATTGTTCTTTGTTTTCATGCCAGTTATAGACGGAAATAACTGAACGCCGCAACAAGGTGGAACAAAAATAAGATGAAAGAAATAAGTAAAAATTAATAATAATAGATAACGCTACGTACACAAAATTAATTAAAACTATTACAGCCCAGTTAAAGTAATGAAAGAAACACGAGTGAAAAAGGACTAATAACAGTTAATACTTTATCTAAGAAATGCAGACAATCATAAGATGTAAAAGTAAGAAACATTTTTAAAAATGAATAATAATTGACAAGGCTTCATCTAAGAAATTCAGACAACTTGAGACTATTACTACTTGGTGGAAAAGTAAAAGAAATAAGACGACAGAAAAACTTATCAAAAATAAATAATAATTGACAAGGCTTCATCTAAGAAATTCAGACAACTTAAGACTATTACTACTTGGTGGAAAAGCAAGAGAAATAAGATGAAAGAAATACTAGTCAAAAATGAATAATAATTGACAAGGCTTCATCTAAGAAATTCAGACAACGTAAGACTATTACTACTTGGTGGAAAAGCAAGAGAAATAAGATGAAAGAAATACTAGTCAAAAATGAATAATTATTGCCAAGGCTTCATCTAAGAAATTCAGACAACGTAAGACTATTATTACTTGGTATAACAGCAAGAGAACTAAGATGAAAGAAATGCAAATAAAAAATCATCAATAGCTAAAAAAGTTTAATCTAAAAAATTCCGACTACTGCTTTTGTTATCTTCATAATTAGTCCCGAAAATCAAACAAGATCTCCTCTAACTCATTGTTATATGCCAGACGTGAGATTGAGCAGATGGTGTCGTGTCAGGGGTAGAGAAAGGGATGCTATTTTGAGCCGATTAAGAAACATTGGTTGAAATATGTCATCAATTAAGACAGGTCATTTGCTTTTCACGTCGTCTTCATGAAACAATACATATTCTAACGCACTTTATACATATACACGCACACATACGCAAATGCACACAAATGCATACACCAATGCACACACTCATATATAAACAATTACATGTATACATATCCACATACTGTAGAAACACTCGAATTACAACCATATCACGTTGAAACATCGATTCTCGTTCGATCACTGAATTTATGTAACGCCGAACATGGTCGGTACCGGTGGGGGGAATACCATATGCATGGAAGTGCAGGTGGTGTAATGGATAACGGCTCGTAATTGTAAATCGGCGAGTCGGGTTCCAATTCCAGTTGTGATCGTTATATTTACTTACGCGCAAGACCCTTTGAGAAGCGTCTGAATCCATATCTTCGCCCCAATCAGCTGCAGATTAATTAGTAGAACTTTTATCATTTAAGCCATTAATATCTAAAATAAAAGTAAATTCTTGCAATATAAAAATTATTTTCTCGCTTTAAATAACCTTCAAAGGGTTGATAAACCGCAAAAAACATATCAGTCAATCAAGGGAGAGACATACGCAAACATTGAATACACACACGCGCACACACATACTGATCATGTCTACACACACATACACACACGGCACACATTGACACCCATACTGAACATACAACTCAAATAATACACTCCCATACTTAAAATTAATACACTGGCGTGTAAAATTATCTGGAAACTACATAAAATTATTATTTTTTATCCCGTGTATCCATCAGGGTCGTAGGGGTTTCACATGTACTGTAGCCACATTAGAAGTGGTGTTTCTTGGGCAAGGTAGCCTGACGGGGCCCCACTCACTTCTGGCTGGTTTTAAATTCAGAGTTCTTCCTTCTTTTAGACCGGTTGCCACTCAAGCTAATTTTGAATTCTCGTTGAATCCATTACATTCACTTACGTGCTAATTCCCTTGAGAAAGGTATGAATCCTCTTCTTCTCCGCCCCAGCTATGGGTAAATAGCAGGATAGACCGCGATCTATAAAAGGATTATACACCACTATTAAAATGTTGAGATTGTTTACCAGTATGTTTTTTTTAGTAAGATCATGAGGTTACAAAATAAGTTGTTCTTCTTTTCGTAAGGGAAGATACAGTGATTTCACCCGATTTAAGCTGACAAAAGACCATGCAAAACCATTGGACAAATCAAAGTTCTGAGATAATAAAATCATGATAGGCAAATATCTAAATAGGAATTGTTATGAACATTGGTATCAGGTGATTTGGCACGTCATTGTAGTTGAACGTTATGGATAAAATATTTGATGAAAGAAAGATTAAGGTTATGAATTTTTAGGGAAAAAATGACTCAACGAAAGCTGTGAATTTACAGGAACAGTATTTATATTATCCACAAGACTGGAAGTTTTTAAGTGCCCCCCCCCCAGAAAACCACAAGTTAAATAAGGGAGATTAAATATTGTTAGAGAGCAAACAAGAATTTGCAGTCAGAAAAGTGAGATTTGAATTCAGCCTCAACAGTGAGGTTTCAATTGATACAGTACGGAGAGTATTCAGTCTGTTATGTGCCATGCGTGATACACGCTTAATCGATCATGTATCTTTCGATACATGACTGATGAGGCAGATTTTTCCTGCAGTAAGTTGCCATTTCTTTCTGAGGTAGACCAGTTGCCATCCATTGCTATAGAACCCGGTCTGTCCTGCTATTTACCCATAGCTGGAGCAAGAAGAGGATTCATACCTTTCCAAGGGTCAGTCAGTCAGTTATGCGCCATGCTTGATACACGCTTAGGCGATCATGCATCTTTCGATACATGACTGACGAGGCAGATTTTTTCACGCAGTAGGTTGCCATTTCTTTCTTCGGTCGACCAGTTGCCATCCAAGACTATAGAACCTGGTCTGTATTGCTATTTACCCATAGCTGGAGAGAGGAGAAGAGAATTCATACCTTTCCAAGGGTCAGTCAGTCAGTCAGTCAGTTATGTGTGCCATGCGTGATATACGCTTAGGCGATCATGTATCTTTCAATACATGACTGACAGTTGCCATCCATTGCTATAAAACCCGCTCTGACGAGACAGATTTTTTTCTCGCATTAGGTTGCCATTTCTTTCTGCAGTAGACCAGTTGTCATCCAAGGCTATAGAACTCGGTCTGTCCTGCTATTTACCCATAGCTGGGGTGGGGAGAAGAAAAGGATTCTCCACTTTTCTCAATGGTATTAGCACACAAGTGAATGTAATGGTTTCGACTGGAATTCGAACTCGTCTCTTCGTTTCTTCAATCTGATCCGCTATCCATTACTCCACAGAGTATTACGAAAATAAAAACTTGAGCAGCCGTATAGGAATATTTCATTTTGGGTTTGATCTAACCAAAACTGTAGTATTGCTGGCATATCTTGACTAGAGAATGACTTCTTCTTCTTCTTCTTCTTCTTCTTCTTCTTCTTCTTCTTGTACCGTGTCACTTCAGGGTGTAGGCGATTATGGTCCTCCACATCTTCCCGCCCCTTGTACCTCTTTATAAATTTTATCTTTTTGTTATTTCTCCCAAACCTTGTTCTGCCATCCATTTAGTCAAGCCCATCAAGTATGTTACACGCTTTCCCCTCAAGTGGAAATGAAAAATACCAAAAATGAAGTATTGCTGGCATGTCTGGTCTGGAATTTTTCAATTCTCTCTTTCCAGCCATAACAGATTTCAAAAGCGTTTGCGCGGCCTTGTAGGCGATGAATTATTTTCCCTACACTCCCTCCCTCATAGTACAAACACAGAATCATACGCACACATACATTAGGACAGCGGTCGATTTTGGAAGCGTGATATTGCAGTCAATTTGAAAGTTTACGCTTAACATGATAAATAATGACACAAAATATTTATTTCCAAATCGTTACCATTTTTTGAGGAAACAAGTTTTAAAGATTAAATTCAAAATCGGTGATCAGTGAAAGCCTTATAGCACAACCTTAGAAAATTTATAATTTCCTGAAGCTGTACAAATTGTATATGGATAAGATTCATGGCACCAGCACATTATTGCTAAATCCATTGTGCCATCAAATAAGACTTTCATTTACTTCAAAGGGGAATTATACTGAACAATTTAGCTATATTTTGATGTAATATATTATACAGTGCAGTAGTTTTAGTCTGATTCTCAATAAACAATGCAAATTTAAAACATTTTGTCTGATAATTTTTGCCCAGCAGTTTTATAGTGTTAGATACACTTTTATCTATTTTTTTGTTTTTATTAATTATGATGTAACAAATCTTATTCATTTAATAAATCTTTTACAATTTTTTACAGCTTTTACTCAATGAATACTAAAAAAGAATTACATAATTTCCTTGCGATGATTCATAATTAGAATTCTCGTTTGAATTGGAATTACGGTTTGAATTAGTTTTCGGGCTTGAATTAGTATTCTCGTTTGAATTAGAATTCCTTTTTGAATTAGAATTTTTGTTTGAATTAGAATTCTAGTTTGAATTAGAATTACGGTTTGAAATAGAATTCTTGTTTGAATTAGAATTCTCGTTTGAATTAGAATTCCTTTTTGAATTAGAATTCTTGTTTGAATTTGAATTCTCGTTTGAATTAGAATGACGGTTTGAATTAGAATTCTTGTTTGAATTAGAATTACAGTTTGAATTAGAATTACAGTTTGAATTAGAATTACAGTTTGAAATAGAATTAGGACTAAAATTAAAATTCTGGTTTGAATTAGAATTACGGTTTCAATTAGAATTCTCGTTTGAATTGGAATTCTCGTTTGAATTAAAATTCTGGTTTCAATTAGAATTACGGTTTGAATTAGAATTACGGTTTGAATTAGAATTTTCGTTTGAATTAGAATTCTCGTTTGAATTAAAATTCTGGTTTGAATTAGAATTCTGGTTTGAATTAGAATTCAGTTTTCATTAAAATTCTGGTTTGAATTAAATTACGATTTGAATTAGAATTCTCGTTTGAATTAAAATTCTCGTTGGAATTAGAATTATGGTTTGAATTAGAATTCTCGTTTGAATTAAAATTCTGGTTTGAATTAGAATTACGGTTTGAATTAGAATTCTCGTTTGAATTAGAATTCTCATTTGAATTAAAATTCTGGTTTGAATTAGAATTACGGTTTGAATTAGAATTCTCGTTTGAATTAGAATTCTCGTTTGAATTAGCATTTTCCATTTAATATATCTAATACAAAAAATATCAACTTTATTTAGATTTATTCTTGAAACAGTAAAGTTTTTAAGTCAATTTTAAGCCAAAATTGCAAAAATTGCAAATTTCTGTAGATTTTTAGATGATATTTAAAAATAAAACAAACACCACAACCCGTGAAGCCGTTTGGGTCATTGAGAGTTCAGGTTATAAAACATTTCAATGTTTGATTTCAATGTTTAAAAAAAAAATATTGTCCTTTTGAAGAAAGTTGAAATAAAAAAATCCTTACTCTATAAACAACTATTATTTTTAAATCTTACAACATTTTTAAATCATATTAACATAAAAATATATTTTTAATATGCCAAAAAATATTTTAAAATCCTATTCACTTGAAAATATTTTTTAAATATGGCAAAAATTTTTTTTAATATCTAAAATATTCTTTGTTTAAAGAAAATTGAAATACAAATAAGCACGCACGAAATCTCAGAGAGGTGGAAAGACAGAGAGGTTGAAAGAGAGAGGTGGAAAGACAGAAAGATGGAAAGAGAGAGGTGGAAAGACAGAGAGGTTGAAAGAGAGAGGTGGAAAGACAGAGAGGTTGAAAGAGAGAGGTGGAAAGACAGAGAGGTTGAAAGAGAGAGGTGGAAAGACAGAAAGATGGAAAGAGAGAGGTGGAAAGACAGAGAGATGGAAAAAGAGAGAGAGATGGAAAGAGAAATGTGGAAAGAGAGAGGTGGTAAGAGAGAGAGATGGAAATAGAGAGGTAGAAAGAGAAAGGTGGAAAGACACAGAGGTGGAAAGAGAGAGGTGAAAAGAGAGATGTGGAAAAACAGACAGGTGGAAAGAGAGAAAGGTGGAAAGAGAGTGATGGAAAGACAGAGAGGTGGAAAGACAGAGAGATGGAAAGAGAAAGGTGGAAAGAGATAGGTGGAAAGAGAGATAGAGATGGAAAGAGAAATGTGGAAAGAGAGGAAAGAGAGATAGAGATGGAAAAGAAATGTGGAAAGAGAGAGGTGGAAAGAGAGATAGAGATGGAAAGAGAAATGTGGAAAGGAGAGGTGGAAAGAGATAGAGATGGAAAGAAATGTGGAAAGAGAGAGGTGGAAAGAGAGATAGAGATGGAAAGAGAAATGAGAAAGAGAGGAAAAGAGAGATAGAGATGGAAAGAGAAAGGAAAATAAGATGGAAAAGAGAGATAGAGATGGAAAGAGAAATGTGGAAAGAGAGAGAAAAGAGAAATAGAGATGGAAAGAGAAATGGAAAGAGAAAGGTGGAAAGAGAGATAGAGATGGAAAGAGAGATAAGAGATGGAAAGAAATGTGGAAAAGAGAGGTGGAAAGAGAGATAGAGATGGAAAGAGAAAAAGAGAGAGGTGGAAAGAGAGAGAGGAGAGAAAGAGAGAAGAGTGGAAAAGAGATAGAGATGGAAAAGAGAGAGATGGAAAGAGAGATAGAGATGGAAAGAGAAATGTGGAAAGAGAGAGGTGGAAAGAGAGATAGAGATGGAAAGAGAAATGTGGAAAGAGATAGGTGGAAAGAGAGATAGAGATGGAAAGAGAAATGTGGAAAGAGATAGAAAGAGAGAGAGATGGAAAGAGAAATGTGGAAAGAGATAGGTGGAAAGAGAGATAGAGATGGAAAGAGAAATGTGGAAAGAGATAGGTGGAAAGAGAGATAGAGATGGAAAGAGAAATGTGGAAAGAGAGAGGTGGAAAGAGATAGAGATGGAGAAATGGGAAAGAGAGAGGGATGGAAAGAGAGATAGAGATGGAAGAGAAATGTGGAGAGGTGGGAAGAGAGATAGAGATGGAAAGAGAGAGGGGAAGAGAGATAGGATGGAAAGAGAGATAAAGAGAAATGTGGAAAGAGAGAGGTGGAATAGAGATGGAAAGAGAAAGGTGGAAAGAGAGGTGGAAAGAGATAGAGATGGAAAGAGGTGGGAAGAGATGGTGGAAAGAGAGAAGAGATGGAAAGAAAAAGGAAGGTGGAAAGAGAGATAGAGATGGAAATGTGGGAAAGAGAGAGGTGGAAAGAGATGGAAAGAGAAATGTGGAAAGAGAGAGAGAGATGGAAAGAGAAATGTGGGAAAGAGAGAGGATGGAAAGAGAGATAGAGATGGAAAGAGAAATGGAAAGAGATAGGTGGAAAGAGAGATAGAGATGGAAAGAGAAATGTGGAAAGAGAGAGGTGGAAAGAGAGAGAGATGGAAAGAGAGATGGAAAGAGAGAGAGATGGAAAGAGAAATGGGAAAGAGAGAATGGAAGAGAGAACAGAGAGATGGAAAGAGAAATGTGGAAAGAGAGAGGTGGAAAGAGATAGAGAGGAAGAAATGTGGAAAGAGAGGTGGAGAGAGAGATGGAAAAGAGAGAGGAGAGAGGATGGAAAGAGATGGTGGAAAGAGAGATAGAGATGGAAAGAGAAATGTGGAAAGAGATAGGTGGAAAGAGAGATAGGATGGAAAGAGAAATGTGGAAAGAGATGGAAAGAGAGAAGAGATGGAAAGAAATGTGGAAAGAGATAGGGTGGAAAGAGAGATAGAGATGGAAAGAGAAAGGTGTGGAAAGAGAGAGGGGTGGAAAGAGAGAGGAGATGGAAGAGATGGAAAAGAGAAAGAGATGGAAAGAGATAGGAGAGGTGGAAGAGAGATAGAGATGGAAAGAGAAATGTGGAAAGAGATGGAAAGAGAGAGAGAGGATGGAAAGAGAAATGTGGAAAGAGAGATGGAAAGAGAGAAAGTGGAAAGAGAGAGGTGGAAAGAGAGATAGAGATGGAAAGAGAAATGTGGAAAGAGAGGTGGAAAGAGAGATAGAGATGGAAAGAGAAATGTGGAAAGAGATAGGTGGAAAGAGAGAGAGATGGAAAGAGAAATGTGGAAAGAGATAGGAAAAGAGAGATGGAGATGGAAGAGAAATGTGGAAAAGATGGAAAGAGAGATAGAGATGGAAAGAGAAATGTGGAAAGAGAGAGGGAAAGAGATAGAGATGGAAAGAGAAATGTGGAAAGAGAGAGGTGGGAAGAGAGATGGGATGGAAAGAGAAATGTGGAAAGAGAGGGTGGAAAGAGAGATAGAGATGGAAGAGAAATGTGGAAAGAGAGAGGTGGAAAGAGATGGAGATGGAAAGAGAAAGGTGGGAAGAGATAGGTGGAAAGAGAGATAGAGAAAAGAAAAAAGGTGGGAAGAGATGGTGGAAAGAGAGATAGAGATGGAAAGAGAAATGTGGAAAGAGAGGTGGAAAGAGAGATAGATGGAAAGAAATGAAATGGAAAGAATAGGTGGAAAAGAGAGATAGAGATGGAAAGAGAAAGGTGGGAAGAGATAGGTGGAAAGAGAGATAGAGATGGAAAGAGAAATGTGGAAAGAGAGAGGAAAAGAGAGAGATGAGATGGAAAGAGAAATGTGGAAAGAGAGGAAAAGAGAGATAGAGATGGAAAGATGGAAAGAGATAGAGATGGAAAGAGAAATGTGGAAAGAGATAGGTGGAAAGAGAGATAGAGATGGAAAGAGAAATGTGGAAAGAGAGAGGTGGAAAGAGAGATAGAGATGGAAAGAGAAATGTGGAAAGAGAGAGGTGGAAAGAGAGATAGAGATGGAAAGAGAAATGTGGAAAGAGAGAGGTGGAAAGAGAGATAGAGATGGAAAGAGAAATGTGGAAAGAGATAGGTGGAAAGAGAGATAGAGATGGAAAGAGAAATGTGGAAAGAGAGAGGTGGAAAGAGAGATAGAGAGATGAAAGAAAATGTGGAAAGAAAGAGGTGGAAAGAGATAGAGATGGAAAGAGAAATGTGGAAAGAGAGAGGTGGAAAGAGAGACAGAGAGATGGAAGAGAAATGTGGAAAAAGAGAGAGGGAAGAGAGATAGAGATGGAAAGAGAAATGTGGAAAGAGAGAGGTGGAAAGAGAGATAGAGATGGAAAGAGAAATGTGGAAAGAGAGAGGTGGAAAGAGAGATAGAGATGGAAAGAGAAAGGTGGGAAGAGATAGGTGGAAAGAGAGATAGAGATGGAAAGAGAAAGGTGGGAAGAGATAGGTGGAAAGAGAGATAGAGATGGAAAGAGAAATGTGGAAAGAGAGAGGTGGAAAGAGAGATAGAGATGGAAAGAAAGGTGGGAAGAGAGAGGTGGAAAGGTGAGATGGAAAGAGAAAGGTGGGAAGAGATAGGTGGAAAGAGAGATAGAGATGGAAAGAGAAATGTGGAAAGAGAGAGGTGGAAAGAGAGATAGAGATGGAAAGAGAAATGTGGAAAGAGAGAGGTGGAAAGAGAGATAGAGATGGAAAGAGAAATGTGGAAAGAGAGAGGTGGAAAGAGAGATAGAGATGGAAAGAGAAATGTGGAAAGAGAGAGGTGGAAAGAGAGATAGAGATGGAAAGAGAAATGTGGAAAAGAGAGGTGGAAAGAGATAGAGATGGAAAGAGAAATGTGGAAAGAGAGATGAGAGATGGAAAGAAAAGGTGGAAAGAGAGAGAGGAAAGAGAGATAGAGATGGAAAAGAAATGTGGAAAGAGAGTGGAAAGAGAGATAGAGATGGAAAGAGAAATGTGGAAAGAGATAGGTGGAAAGAGAGATGAGATGGAAAAGAAATGTGGAAAGAGAGGGTGGAAAGAGAGATAGAGATGGAAAGAGAAATGGGAAAGAGGTAGGTGGAAAGAGAGATAGAGATGGAAAATGAGAAATGTGGAAAGAGATAGGTGGAAAGAGATAGAGATGGAAAGAGAAATGTGGAAAGAGATAAAAGAGAGATAGAGATGGAAAGAGAAATGTGGAAAGAGATAGGTGGAAAAGAGAGATAGAGATGGAAAGAGAAATGTGGAAAGATGGAAAAAGAAGATAGAGATGGAAAGAGAAATGTGGAAAGAGAGAGGAAGGTGGAAAGACACAGAGGTGGAAAGAGAGAGGTGAAAAGAGAGATGTGGAAAAACAGACAGGTGGAAAGAGAGAAAGTTGGAAAGAGAGTGATGAAAATACAGAGAGGTGGAAAGACAGAGAGATGGAAAGAGAAAGGTGGGAAGAGATAAAAAGAGAGATAGAGATGGAAAGAGAAATGTGGAAAGAGATAGGTGGAAAGAGAGATAGAGATGGAAAGAGAAATGTGGAAAGAGAGAGGTGGAAAGAGAGATAGAGATGGAAAGAGAAATGTGGAAAGAGAGAGGTGGAAAGAGAGAGAGATGGAAAGAGAAATGTGGAAAGAGAGAGGGAAAGAGAGATAGATGGAAAGAGTGGAAAGAGAGAGGTGGAAAGAGAGAAAGAGATGGAAAGAGAAATGTGGAAAGAGAGGTGGAAAGAGAGATAGAGATGGAAAGAAAATGTGGAAAGAGAGAGGTGGTGGAAAGATAGAGATGGAAAGAGAAATGTGGAAAGAGAGAGGTGGAAAGAGAGATAGAGATGGAAAGAGAAATGTGGAAAGAGAGAGGTGGAAAAACAGAGAGAGGTGGAAAGAGAAATAGAGATGGAAAGAGAAAGGTGGAAAGAGAGAGGTGGAAAGAGAGATACAGAGGTGGAAAAACAGAGAGAGGTGTAAAGAGAGAGGTGTAAAGAGAAAGGTGTACAGACAGAGAGATGGAAAGAGAAAGGTGGAAAGGGAGATAGAGTTGGAAAGAGAAATGTGGAAAGAGAAAGGTGGAAAGACACAGAGGTGGAAAGAGAGAGGTGAAAAGAGAGATGTGGAAAAACAGACAGGTGGAAAGACAGGGAGGCGGAAAGACAGAGAGATGGAAAGAGAATAGTGGAAAGAGAGAGGTGGAAAGAGAGGTAAAGATGGAAAGAGAGAGGTTGAAAGAGAGAGAGAGAGGTGGAAAAACAGAGAGAGGTGGAAAGAGAGAGAGAGAAGAGAAAGGCGGAGAAAAATGTAATTTATGTTCACAATCCGCATGTTCAATTAAGTCATTATCTGCTAGAAACACACACCGTTTCCTTCTCTTTCTATGCGATAATAAATTTATTTTCATAATCTTTCTTTCACCCACTCTTGATATATGAATTCTGGCAAATACAAAAGCAAAGTTCACAAAGTTTTATAATAATAGAGATGCTCATAAATTGTTAAAAGTTATGAATTTAATGTTTGGTAACAGTACTTATAACATCAAACCACAGCTTTTAGACCGTGTGCAAAAGGGGTAATCAATCTTTCCTAAACCACACTCTGCACACAGAAATCTAATCTATCATCTTTACATTTCTCGTTTATTTTATTTCCTTTATCCACTTTCTTCTCTTTATTCTTTCTCTTTCCTTCATTTTTCTTTTCGATTTTTTTCTTTTTCTCTTCTTATTTTCCCATTGAAATCAACTTTTTTCTTTTCCCATATCTTCTTTTTCTGTTTCCCTCTTCTTTTACATTTTCTTTTTCTTTTTCCTTTCTTTCTCTTTTTTTACACTCATTTTTATTCTTCCTTTTTGTTATGGTCCGGTTCCTTGTACCACGGTGATAGTCCAAGGTAGACCCAATAAAGAAGAACTCGAATACGGATATGGAATAACACAGATATATTACAAACAGGAATATATACAGAGAAGTAGAAAGTGTTAGTACGAACAATCAGGTTTAGTAGTAATTGTCTGAACGCGACTCTGTTTTCGGAACTGCCTCTGACTCGACTGACTGACTCACTCGCTCTGACTCACTGACAGACTTTTGACAGTCTTCACTCCAGACTTCAGACGGATCAGTATTTAGTCACACCCAACCACCACCACGAAGGCATCCTGTGGCACAAGGCCGGTTTAACGTGGGATCTCCGAGCCCGTGGGCTCAGCCAAAAATATGCCATTTGAACCCGTATAGACGGTTTCAGGGTCGGTTTACCTCCCCAAAAGAGACTCCGCCCTTCAGCATAGCCTCGTTCGGGTTCCTCCCCGCCCGAAGGCAGAGAGTTCAACCGATCAGCCGGTCATCCGGTCAGCCGGTCGCCCGACTTCGGACTGAACGGTATTTAGTCACCCCCACCACGAGGGCATCATGTGGCACAAGACCGGCTTAACGTGGGATCTCCGAGCCCGTAAGCTCGGCCAAAAATATGCCCTTTGAACCCGTATAAACGGGTTCAGGGTCGGTTTACCTCCCCGAAAGAGACTCCGCCCATTCGGCGTAGCCTCGTCCAGGTTCCTCCCCGCCCGAAGGCAGAGAGTTCAACCGATCAGCCGATCAGCCGGTCGCCCGACTTCGGACTGAACTCCCTGCTTCCTCTTGAGGCGCAGTATTTATAACGTATGGAATACTCCATTATGTCATTATGGGTAAGGTCCCATCAAACTTTTCTTTCACTTTCCTTTTCCGCTTTACCTTTTCTACCTTCTTAATTGTCTTTTATTTCCCCTCTTTCCCTTTTTCTAACCTTCTATTTTCTATTTGTACCTTTCCTTCACCTCTTTTTATTCCTTCTTTTTTATTCATTTTTACCATTACCTTTTCTTTCTCTTTTTCCTTCCTTTCTCTTTTTTCCTTTCCTTCTTTCTTTTCATTTTATCGCCTTTCCTTTTTTTTTTCTTTACCTCCTTTTTTTCTTCCACCTTCTATTTCTTTTCTTTTTTTGCATAAATTGCGTAGAGGTACATGTTAGACATTTTCATGACGGTCGTCCTCGAGTATAGAATCCAGAGGTTGGCAGTGAATATTTCGGAGACAGTAGGAAAGCGTAGTGCAGGTTCGCAGTGGATATCACAACAGAGTGTAGTTCTTCCTTCTGTCGTGTTCGCCTGACAAATTGGCTCTGGTCCTTCCGGTAAGATAAACAAAGATGGCTGCCTTTATACACGACGGATACAGTGTTCTGCGCCTCCTGATTGGTTAATCTTCTATTGGTAGACTATAAAGGGAAATAAGTCATTTTGACTCGCTCACTAGTTATATACAATATATACACAAAAAACCGTAACAGTACAAAGAATAGTAAGTTGTGGAACATACGTTAAACCGGCCTTGTGACACATGATGCCCTCGTGGTGGGGGTGACTAAATACCGTTCAGTCTGAAGTCGGGCGACCGGCTGATCGGCTGATCGGTTGAACTCTCTGCCTTCGGGCAGGGAGGAACCCGAACGAGGCTACGCCGAATGGGTAGTATAGGTAATTTTAGTGTTTTTTTAGCGGGGCAAAACACACTGATTTTAAAATTCTTGCAAAAATCAAGTAATTGTCGGATTTTAATAAAATTTTCAGGACTTATTCCCAAACGAATGAAATTATTATATAATCTTCTTTTTTAAAATTTTGATGAAAATATGTTTTACATCTGTCCCCCCACTACACTTACATAGTTTTATGGAATTTCGAGAAATTAAATTTTATAGAGTTTAATGTTTATACTAACAGAAATAGAATTCCTTGAAGAACTTAAATCATAATTGTTTTGTAAAACGAGAAAACCATTTACCGAAAATCTGTTCTGAATCGTAAAATAAAAAAATGAAAATTAAGACATTATTTATTTAGAAAAGCTTTTAATTGCTTTATGACTAAATATATTATGAACACTATGGTCTTAAGAAAAAATGTTTTTGATAAATAATGTAATTTTACAAGATTTATTTTCATATTTTAAAATTTTAATTATAATAATTTATAAAGCTTTAAATCTTTAATATTTCTGTATAATTTGTACCAGTTAGGTGATATTGTTATATTTTATTGAATTTTAAGTGCTTTGGGTTTATAATAAGTACCTCCAAAGATTCACTAAAAGTAAGCATACATGATGAAAAATGCTCCAAACTTAACAAAAGCGAATTTTCATCATCAAAATCTTTATGTTATTATTAGGAGGAAAGACCAAAGGTTTTTATTTTTTATTAAATTATAATTTTTGATCCTTTTTAGAACGTTCGTAATTTTGGTTAAAAATCTTGTTTTTCTTGCGTCAGCGGGGTTGGTGGATTTGCGCAAAAATTGGTATGGAAAATTTTAACCTCTTTCTTGCATTAAAAACACTGATTTGGGAATTCTTACAATTGCCGGAATTTAGTGTAACTTTTAGAAATTATTCAGAGTTAAATGAAACTATTTTAGAATTGTTTCTTTATAAGAAAATCTTTGTTACTCCCTACTTATTTAATTTTGTGAAATTTCTAGAAATTAAATTTTATACCGCTTACTGTTTATATTATTTATACTCATTTTTGGCAAAACAATACCCCCAGTTACTGAAAATCTGCTCTGAATCGTAAAATAAAAAATGCAATAAAAATAAGACATTATTTAATTAGAAAAGCATTATTTTGGTTTTATGAATAAGATATATTACGTACACTATTGTCTAAAGAAACAAAAATTCGATGAATAATGAATTTTTACAAGAATTGCTTTCATTTTTTAAAATTTTAATTAGAATAATTCATGTTTTAAATCCTTTAAATTTCTGTATTAATTTGTACAGATTAGATAATATTGCTATTAAATAAATCAATATTTACTAATAATAAATTTAAAAAAAGCTGACTACAATTCAGTGACCTCACTATCTTAAAAAGAATTTTGATTTGTGTGTATATGTATAAAAGTGCTGTTTTTTTGTAAATACGGGTGTCCATACACGACATTATCAGAAAATAAGAGTGATAATGATAGTTAATTTAAAGTCAAAGTACCTAAAATTCAATAAAACATTAGTTTACGGAGAATCTTTTACCAAATACTTATGATACTTGATCGTTAAAATTATATTTAAAAAAAAGTATCTCAGGTTATAATTCTGAAGTAAATTTTACAGATACATCCACCGTGGAAAAGAAAATTAGATAAACTTCCGCCTGTCAGTCAATCCGTCAAGCTATCAACAACCGAAATAAAAATTTACCGCCATGTTAAAATATGCATTTCTGTGATATTTTATACTTAAAATAAGTAATATTCGTTTTAAATCAGATTAATTAAACTCTAAATCAGCTAATATTCCTCAAATAAAGTTTTCGTTATGGGACCTTACCTATAACGATAATGGACTCTTCCTGACACTATAAATACTGCGCCTCTCAAGATGTATAATAGATACCGAATCACTATGTCTGTTGAACTCTCTGCTATGGCGGAGAGGAACCCGGATGAAGCTTTGCCGAAGGGCAAGGTTTCGTCCGGGGAGGTAGACAGGCCCTGAACTCGTCTAGGCGGGTTCAAAAGGTATATTTTTGGCCGAGCCTATGGGCTCGGGAAACCCACGTTGAACTTGGCCTTGTGCCACATGCAACCCTCGTGGGGCGGGGGGGGGCTATATACCGAATGAATGGTGTAACGAGCACCAGGTCATGACTGTTGAACACTCTGCTTTGGCAGAGAGGAACCCGGATGAAGCTTTGCCGAAGGGCAAGGTTTTGTCCCGGGATGTAGACAGGCCCTGAACCCGTCTAGGCGAGTTCAAAGGGTACATTTTTGGCCGAGCCTACGGGCTCGGAGAAACCCACTTTAATCTCGGCCTCGTGCCACATATATTCCTCGTGAGTGGGATATTAAATACAATGAATGGTGTAACGAGAATAAGACCTCTTACTGACCGTTCTTTTGCTACGTCGTATTTGCGATATTATTACCTGTATTATTTACTGATCTCCATTTTGTTCTTTTAAGTCTATTTTTTTATTTTACTTTTTCTTACGTTTTCAATTTTGAACTGACAGATTTTTGAAAAGTTTGTGACTTTTTTCTTTTCCATTTCTTACCCTTCCCCATTGTTCCTTTGTTCCCCCCACACACTCTTCTCCTCTCATTCTTTTATTATTAGCTTTTTGATTTTCTTTTATTTTTAAATTAATATTTTATATTTTCCGTTTCCTTTTAATTTTTTGTAATCCCCTGCTAAAGTTTATCTGTTTTATTTTACGTCAGACATTTTTTTTTCATTGTTTACGTTATTACGTGTTATATCGTTCTTTGTTATTCTTT